GAGTTGCTGCTGCAACTGGGCAAACAGCAACAAGAAGAAGAAGAACAACAACAGCAATTTTATAACTTGCTGCAGCCCAGCAACAGTCGGTGCAAAAAGTGTGCGCACGCTTGTCGAGTTGAAAATGTAAAAAATGTTGAAAATGCACAAAAATAGCTTAGCAAAAATGTAAAGTGTGCGGCACATTTGTTGTATTCGTTATTGTTGTTGCTGCCACAACAACAACAACAACAATACCAATAACATGTTGCCATTCATTGTGCATACAACGAGCTGCAAACACGAATGGAACACGCATCGCCATTTAACTGGCTGCAATTTTTTTGCAGTTTGCCTTTTGTCTTTCGTATTTGTATTCACATTTGTATCTGTATCTGTATCTGGATCTGTAAATGTATCTGTGTCTGCATCTGTTTGCCGCTGCAGGCAATGGCAACGGTCCAGTCCAGTCCCGTCCGGTGTGCCTGTCCGTGTCCATGGATGCAGCAGCTACAGCTGCAGTTGCACAAAACATGCCCCGGGGACGCATCAGCCGAGCAGCAGCAGCAGCGGGGGCCAGGCGTGGGGCATGTCCAATGTGTGCCACAAAATTTGCAACTAATTGCAGCTTATCCTCTTCTTTTTTTTTTTAAGTGTAAACGAAACAGATACCTAAAGACTGCAAGAACACAAATATACCATGCCAAAACTATGTATTCCCTTTGGTACTCTCAGTGTATTTATTTACTGTAGGGTTTTTGGGGTTTGGCAGACGCGAAGCTGGCGCATGCTAGAAATTAAATAGTGTTGGGTCACACATGATAATGATTGCAATAGCAGAGCAAAATCCATTTTATATGACAAAGAATTTGCTTAATATTGAATAAATATCCAGAAAAAACTAGTTACATTTAAGTATGACATACGCACAAGGTCTTTAGAATTTATCAGCCTCACCAGAAAAAAGAGTAATATTATATTTATGTTAATTAACATTTGCTAATAAACTATTTTGGTACTCAATTCCTGTTATGAACAGAAAGAATTTTTTGAATATATAATAATCTTAAAATCAATTAAAGAATTCAATTGTGAATGTTTTACTTAACACAATTCATAATTTTTTTTTTTTTTTTACTTGATAATATCCATGCGCCTACACAACAAATGACAAATGCGCTTAACAGAGGCAATTTGCTTTAGCATAGTGCAGTTTCTGTTAAAGTTAACATGTCATAAGTTTTGTAACAGCTTATGTTCTGCTCTGCTGTTGTGCATACGTGCAGAGACTTTGCTTTGCAAGTGGAATTTAATTATTGCTAGCTGCTCTTTATTACTTTTTCATTTGTTTATTTGTTATTAGCCTTTCACTTTTGTATAGTACTTTCATGTATTTAAAACTCATTCAACTTAGCGCACACCCAATTTATGCGGAACCCTTGACTTTGTCTACACAAAACTTTTCAAAAATAACACCCACACACGCGCACACATTCGCAAACACACGCACACTTGTGCAAGTTGAAACTTTAGTTTTGTTTGCATTGTTTCTAAAGTTGCCATTTCCAAGCAATTCATTTCTAATTGCTTGTAATTGTCTTCGTCTGCCTCTGCAACATCAGCCCCCTTTGGTCGCCTCTCGTGCTTCCTGGCGCAATTCGCAGCAGCTGCGAGACCCAGAGACCTACAAAACTAAGCTCAACAACAACAACAACAACAACAACAACAAGTGCATGCCACAGCAGCAACAACAAGAAGTAGCGTGTTATAGCAAATTATGTTGCAATTACAAAAGCAACACAAAAGCAAATGCGAACAGACAACAAAAATGAGAGAGAAAAACTGAAAAGAAATAATCATGAAAAACAACAAATTTTCAGCTGGCACATGAGAATTGCCCACAGGCCTCCCTCCCCTTCCCCCTTGCCCCATCACCCACTCTCCACACTCCAGTTAAATTCTAATTATTTTGTCGTATTTACAAATGTTGCCAGTCAACCAAACGAGACAAATACAAATACTCGAACAATTTCTTGTAAAAATACAAAAATTGTAAAACTAAGAAAAAATTAAGCGGAGAAAAACAGAGCTTCACGCTTCAGCTTGATTTGCCAAGTGCGACGAGAAGTGTTGTTTGGGCACAGAGCACGGCAAATTGCAGGAAATTGTTGAAAAGTGTTTCGAAAACAAGTCGCAGACGGTTCCACCTTCAATGCGAGGCTAATAGGTGCGAGCTTCGGCTTCGGCGAGCTGCGAGACGCGCGACGCCTACACAACAAAACACAACAATTGACAAACAATTTAATTTGCGCCAATTTAAAGAGCGCACAAATAAATTGTGCCCAAAAATCGAATTCGGAATACACTCGTTTAAAGACTCTTTTTTTAATTTATATATATGTATGTCTAGACAGGGAATGACAAAGGGCTAGATTTATATCCTGAAGCATATAAAAAACTAGCTATATAAATCTGGCTTAGTTTTAGTCTAGTCTAGTCAAGTTCTTCTATTCTATATTGCTGGTTGGTTAAAGAGAGTCTTTAAATTATATTTGCTTTAAGTAATCAATTAAAATTCAAAAACAAATCTTGATTAGGTTCTCTCTTTTTTTCGATGCAATGCGCTGCATCCCACCTCCCGCCCAACCGACCCAGGGACGCATTTGAGTAACTTACGACACGAATCGCGAAGTACATAAACGAATACAAACTAAGATGAAAAACTTAGTATATCTACTTTGTAAATAGTTAAAAACAGAAGACACTCTACGAGGATGAGAAAACTGCGAGCAGAAAGCACAAAGGATCATAGACAGAGAACAACATTTTATATTAACATAGTTTTATAAAAGTCACAAATCAGGCAAAGAGAATATTAAAATTTATATACACAATTCTTATCTAGATTTATAGATATTTATATTCCATAAAGAGAATATTGAAAGTTGTATACACAATTTTTATCTAGATTTATAGTTTTATATACATGCCATACATGCTACTGCTCGGCAGCTTTTGCTATTTTTATCTTCGATCGATATTTGAATAGGTTTCTTGAAGTTATAAAAAAAAATGCCTTAAAGTGTATTTCAGGGCACATGTTGCAAACTGTCTGAAAGTGTCTTAAGGCCTAGTCAAACTGTCAGCTTGTCTTTGCCCGCCAGCGACAGCTTAAGCCAAAGCAGCAGAGAAAACTGAGAGAGAGAGAGAGAGAGAGAGAGAGAAAGAGAGAGAGGGAAGGAGAGGGAGAACATCTATTGCGTGGTTGAGTCAGTTTTTGTCAGTTGCTAATTGCGGCTTGATTAATGCCAATAACCGCGCTAAACTGGCAGCGGGCACTGTAGACAAACAACCAAGGGTGCTTAAAGCGTGAGTGAACGACTAGAAGATACCCCGTACTACCTATTTTCTCAGCTCTAAAGTCTAGAGTCTAGACTATGGGCACGGCATGCTCATTCTACTAAAACTTGGATATTTTTCATCTGGTTTCTATAAGATTTTCTGCGGCATATTTAGATGTCATCTCAGTGTGTGTGAAAACCAAAACTCCTCCTCCATAAATATTTTTAACTACGTAAAAGCTACATTTTCACAGCTACACACATTCGCACAACAACATTATAACATTTCTATAAAAAATGAATTCACTCTTTTGAGCTTCCATTTATTTTTTTACTACGCACAAAAATCAAAAGAAAATATCTCAAAGAAGCCCGTAAAAATGTCATCTATTTGTGTGCTTTTATATATTTTCTTTGTGCAGCAACACATTTTTCCTGGTTTTCAGTGTTTTTCCTCTTGGCTCATAATTAATTCAGCTTTTTAGTTACTTTTATGTTTTCTCATAATTATTATGCAGCGTATTTTTACCTTTTTGCTATGCTTTATTGTTGTTTTTACTCGCTATTGCTCAACGTTGTTGTTGTTGTTGTTATTGTTGTTGATGTTGTTGATGTTGTTGTTGTTGTTGCCTTCCAAACAATTAACTTTGTTTTCCGCCAAAGTTGTTGTTTTTGTTTGGCCTTTGTTGTTATTGCTTTGTCTAGTTTGAACCTTGGTCGTGTTTTTTTTTTTTTTTCCTGTAAACTTGTTTCAAATGTTGAAAAATTATTGAAGGAAAATGTTTTAATTATTAACGCTCGCACATAAAGAAAATGAATACAAATGTTTCCTCTTGTTGGTTGTTTTTTTATTTTGACCGCAGCTTGGGAAAGCGTACATAAAGAACTTGAACTCAATCTAAACGTAGAATGTGGCGTGCTCTAACGGCACATTCTTTCTTTTGAAGACCTGACAAGGCGTCTTTTTCTTGTGGTCTGCAATCAAGAGTTGTTTGTATCCGAGGCTGAGCACAAAATTCGATTAGTCATCTATTGGGTTTATTATTTTTATTTTAGTTTGAAATATGGGCATTTATTTCTGGAGAGCTCTAATTGGAGTTTTTGGACATGAAATAATTTCGTGAAGTTCCTTTTGAATGGATTTAAATCTTTCAAGATTAACATAAATATCTGACATTGCATTTTCATGCTCTACATAAACAATTTTGGAGAATCTTTAGAGTTTACAAAATATTTTTAACGTAGGCTTTATTTAGATATTTGAAATATAGAACAGTTTTTCAGTTAGTTTTTCAATTTTATAATATTTCTTAAAATCTTTCTCCGCATTTTATGTTCCATTCGTCATTCCACAATCAATTCCTCACAATAGCTTTTTAATGTACACTCTAATTGAATTTGAGAGCTCAACATTTATTTATCCAATTTTCTTTCTCATTTTATGATATATCTTAAAAAACTCTAATTGCTTTTTATGTTCTATTCATCTCTCAGCACCTCCATAAAATCGTTTCCTTTGCTTTCTAGTTTTAGGAATCGTTTTTTTTTAGAGTTGAATTCAATTTGATTTTCAATATCTGGAATATATTCTTTTAGTTTTATGATTTTGAGAGATTTGTAAAATCTTTCACTGACTCTTCCTTTAACATCTAACAAAATCTTAAACTTTATCATTCACAGCTCGCGTTTGTTTTTCTGGCTACTCTTTCGCAGAGTGAAAAACTCTAATTGATTGAGCGCATAAAATTCAATTGATTGCTGAATAATGCAAAACGACTAATGAATGTTTAACCCATTTCAATCAGCGAGTTGTCAAATCAAAGCGGAAATATTTTATAAACATATTCACAAAAAAAAAAGCAAAGAGAAACTGAAAAGGGAATAAATATTAAAGCAAATTAAATTGAGCTGGCAGCTGAGTTGCCACACCAACAACAACAACAACAACAACAACAAGAACAACAACTCGTTTGTGGTTGTGGGCGTCGTCGCATGTTTCTTGTCAGCTCTCTCATTGATGGGTAAACAAAGCCAGCGCAACTATGCAACGACAGACGACAAAGATGCATAAACAAAATGCAACAAAAAGTACAAATAAAAACAACAACAACAACAATAGCTATGCAGCACTTGAAGCCACTTGTGAAACAAATGAAACATACCAGAGGAGAGGAGGCCCCGCTGTGTGTGCCTGCCTGCCTGCCTGTCCCTCAGCGCGGGTCCGGAGTGTGTCGAGCGAACGAACGAGCGAACGAACGACTGATTCCGGCAGCTCCAGAACGGAACTGTTAACTGAGAATGACGTTGAGGCTGACGTTGGCAGTGATAAGAGCCGGGGCGTGTGCAATGCGCATTTCACAGATACAGATGCAGATACAGATACATTTACAGCTACAGCTGCAGATACATTTGCAGTTACTGTTACAGATACAAATATGTGTGTGTGTTACACAATTGTCACTCGTAAACGCCCCCCACCGAAGCCACAGCCCCGTTTGAACTGCTTAGATTTATGCACAGTTCCCGCCCTCCCGCTCTTCAGCCACATGTCTAATTAGTGCATAATATATAGTTTGGCAATATCTAAGCTGATTGTCTGGTTGCACAGCTCGAGATGCAGTGTCAGATAGATACATCCTCTCGGTGCTCGACAGCACCAAGTGGCATGCCTCAAAGAATGTGCTTTTACAGCGCAGCTTCCGTCTCCCCCGCGTCATACAATCAATAAATATTTCGCTTGATATTAAACAGCCCTTCGCTGGGAGCGGAGGCGGGGCACGAATACAAAAAGAAATCAAAATACAAATAATGAAGAATAATGAACACAAAGGGCTCGCAACGAAGGCAGCCAAACAAATTGGTTGCAAGCATCGCCAGATGGAGGCTGCCGCCTGTGGCAAGTATCAAGTCTGGGCCAGTGTGTGCCGCGCGTGTGTGGCATGTTTATACTGGCAAGCTTTACGGCACGCAAATGCTTCACATCAAGATACTTTTCGAAGGGCGTGTGTGCTTCGCATCTTCCAAATATATATATTTATATATATATTTAGAACTGACAGCCTGGCAGCATGCTGCGCCAAGCTGAAGGGATTATCAATGGGCAAAGTCTTGCGATCAATGGAAATCGAAATGGTGGAAATAAAAAAAAAAACAAGTGTTTAATCAAGAGTTCTTCGAGAAGTGTTGGCAACTATTTGAAGGTAAGTCGATTTTCATATTGTTTCATTTAATTTAGAATCAAGTTCAATCGCATTATCTTAAGAATTGATCAACTATGTGACTGATCACTGATCACTGATCCCACACACTTCAAGCGGAAACTACAAAGCGGGTCAAGTACTAGCTTAGCTAGGCTCAAAGTTATTTCAGATTGAACCGCTTTCTGTTTGGGAAAGCAACTAAATTTCACGCTTGAGTGAGCCTTAAAAGTGACTGTCAAATAAAGACTGTTTGTAGAGCATTTACAGATTTAAAATCTTCTGTGAATTCGTTTTTAAATCAATTTCAGGCTTTCGAAAGCTCTATTTGCAAAAGATTCTTTTTTAAGTTCGGGGAAAATAGAGAGGGTTGCCAAAGGTGAGATTTGCTTAAGCTTTATATTAATACGAGAACTAAAAGTTTTTTGTATACAGTTCTAGTAAATTTCGATGTATGCTATGGAAATCCTGTCTTAGAATCGAAATTTATCGATTTTATATAAAACGGAAGATATCGATAAAAACGCTTATTAATTTTTGTAGGATCGGGGATCTGCATGCAGAATGATGGGCAGAAGATGGAAAAGGGGGATGGTATTATACTAAGCGGATATTTAGAGAACTCTAGCTTTAAAATTGTTCGATAAGCGCACAACTTATCGAAACTAAAATCGATAGTTATCGAAAAGTTATCGGAAGTGTTATCGAAATCTTTTGACTTCTTCAGCGTATGATATATGAGAAGCTCATATACTAGATCTTAAGGCAAATGTCTGGAATCTAATTAAAGTCTGAGCTGTTTACTTTGACATACTCCTCCCATGAATTCATTGAACTCTTTTCATATATATTTTATAGACATTTAGTTAGTTGGTATTAAAATATTCAGAGATTCATGTTTTAGGAGTAAAATGTTTAATCTATATGTTCTCTAAAACATATTTTAAGCTCCCTTCAAAAGAACTTAACAGATTACTCAATTCGCATTAGAACAAGCATACCGTAAGCAGGTGGATTTGAACCACGGCGGTTCAAATCCTACCCGTTCCGTTTAGTTTCAGAACTCTGCTTGTTTAACAGTTGTCATAGCTAAACCAACTATCTTGTTGACTGTAGAACGACACTTGAACTAAAAACTAAAAAATAAATTCTCTAACACATAGCATCAACTAATCAATTGCGGGCAATATTTACCAGAGTCGAGACCACAAATGCAGCCGACAACAAAAAACATGAACAAGAACATTTGTATTTGCATTCGATATTAATTGGAAATCACAAATACCAATTAAAGCAACAACAGGCCGCAAATCGAATTGAGAGTAGGTGGAGCAGAAGCTGGGCCTGGAGCAGGAGCTGGGCCTGAAGCTGGAGCGCGAGGTTGGGGTTGGGGTTGGGGTTGGGGCTGGGATTGTGGTTGCGGCTCTGCGGGATTTATCCAAAAATTGCGAATCAAGAATCAATTTCCATGGCTGACATATTTCAGTTTTGTTAGCTGTTGTGTGTTGTTGTTGTAGCGAGTATTTGTGTTAGATTTTTATGTGATTTTAATAGGAAATAAAAATGAAATCATGTGTGCAACAGATTGCGGTCAGGTCCGACCGAACCGAGCCAGCTGGACACCAGCAACAACAAAAACAATTCTAAATTCCAATTGTTGTTGTTGTTCATGTTGTTATTCCTGTGTCACATGTAAAGCTGCCGCATAGAAGAATAAGCGAATAAACAAAAAAAAAACACATAAAACACACTTTGCGGATTTGATGCTGGCCACAAAACATTTGATTTCATTTGGTTCTCTTTCGTTGCAAGTCAATTGATTTTGCTGCTCGCTTTCACTCAGCCACTCGGCCCACTTGATTTTGGGCACAAATTCAATTAGTTGACTTTTGATAGATTTATTTTGTCGTTGCGCCCAAATCGATTGTTTTTAAAGTGCCTGCTTGCAAATATAATTGAATTTCTGGCATTGCCAAAGTTCACTCGGCCAAGTAGGCTGCCAAAAAAAAAAGTCCCAGTAAATAACTAAAAGAGGCGCAAAATGCAGTTGGGTCACGCCCACTGCGCATTGCTATGGCAATTGGGGCTCACAAGCTTAAACCAAAAACGATTTGGCCATATCAAAGCAAAGCTCAAAAACCGCAGACAATAAAAGAAAAAGAAAATTGAGAAAAAAACGGCATGCCAAAGCTTAAATACCCTTGCAGAATAGTAAAGCGCGCGTTTGATGAGTTCAAGATATCTAGGTCAAGATATCTAGAAAAAAAAACAAAAAAGTTTTATCTACAACTAATTTTAAAAAGGGATTTCCAACAGATCTTTGTGATATACTCGTTCAATATTAATGAGATTTAGAACACAAGGCAGAAACATTTTAGAGACCTTAAATGCCGAGTTTTAGATAAAGATATCTAGGGAAACCAAAACATTTTTCATTTAATACTGATAATTACTATGTCAGCTATATAATATAGTGAACCGATACAGGAAAGTCCAATAGAAAGTCAATAGACTACAGAAAGACGAAATTATGCAAAGTTATATGAGAATGGCTTTAAGACAGAGATATGCATAGAAAAAGACGTATTCGGCTTAATCGACTCATTTGTTGATACTGATCGAGAATATATATATGTATATATATATATCATTTAATATATACCATATTATATTTGTATATTTGTGTAACACCCATCATCACATAATTGTAATACCTTTTACAAGGGTATGCCAAAAAAAAAAGTCAAAAACAAAAGGAAAATAAAAGCCGGAAAACAATTTGACGGCTCGACACGGGAGGGCGCATCGAACCGCACGGGAAACGCTCGGTGCACACACACGCACACACACACACAGTCATATACACACCCAAGTTCAAGCGAGGCCAATGACATTTGTGTGTGTGTGTGTGTGTGTGTGCTGCACTTGTTTTTGTTGCCATTGATTGCAGCTGATTGTAATCGGATTGCAATTGGGCGCTCGAAGAGAATCCGCGCCGTAAAACTAGCTGAAATAGCATTTCGTTTAGTTTTCTATTCTTTTTTTACTGCCAGCTGGGGTGTTAATTGCCCACAGTGTTTCCTGTTAATGAACAACAATTTCAAGGTGTTTACTGTAGCGCTGACTTTGAAGACATTTTTTATGATACCCTTTCTTTGGCACCCCCGCCCGCACTCAACGCAGCCGCTTGGCATTTAACGCGTTTGTTTTGCTTTAATTATGGACGTGCAATTGTTTTTGTTATTCTTAACACACACACACACACACACACGCACAACCTTGCCCTACGCATTTGTTTACATTGCACGTTGCCTGAGCAGTTGCCAGAGTTGCCAGCGCGCGCTGCAGCATAAACAAAATGTTCGCTGTTCCAAATGCCAAAACGTTCCGTCGCCCGCCGCAGCTGTCAACAGGCGCAACATTTGAGGCTGTCAACGCCATCAACTTTAACAACAATCAAAATTACGTCGAAAAGAATTAAAAAGAAACAATTTCTAACCCGAAATCATAAAAGCGTAAACTTTTTTTCATCTTTCTTTTTTTGGGTTTTTTGTTTCTTTTCTTTTTGTTTACAAATTTGCTTCCGTTTTGACGCGCGAGTGTCAACAAAATTTTTTTTGTTTACATATTTTACAAAAGCCGACGACACATTTTTCCCGCCAACTTTCTTTTCTCTGATTTTTTTTTGTTATTGTCGAGTTTCGAGTGCGTGGCATCTCCTAATTGCTGCACATTCGTCGGCATTTCGAGACGTTGGCACACGTCGTCCGCGTCGCCGGCTTCCAAGTCCCCTACCTAAGGTAGCCCCTGGTGATAATTCTTTTTTAAAAGTTTTCCGGTAGCGCACCAACAAGTGACATTTATTGGCTGGCCGGTCGGGGCGTGACTCGCATCGAGATTCCACGTAGCCATCACAGAAGATTTGTGGGCTCGCGCATTGGACAACTTTCGCTGTGGACTGTGGGGCGCAGGTTCAAATAAATAAATTGTCGTGCGTGTCTCTTAGACTTTAGATTAGTTGGCGCTGCTTACGTGTACCCTAAAAGTTCATTTGTGTTTGACATATTTTTGGGTTGTTTACCTGAAAGAAAGAAAAGAAAGAGTTGGAATTAGCTAAGCAATTAGTAAGGGCTTGTAATGGGCGGGAAGTGAGTATGGATGGAGTTAAACATCAATAAAGTCTTTGTAAATTGAATACTAAAATAATTTTGGCAAATATTCAATGTATTTGAGATAAATCTGATAGCAAATATGAGCTTCAGAGATGGCTTTAATCAGACAATAGTTCCGTAAATTTGAGTAAAGCCGTTTTGCTCTTTTACTGGAATAAAATTATACAAAAACATTTCAGATTGACTTTAATTTTAGTTAGAGTATTCATTTAAATATGAATGTGTTAGACCTTTCCTGCTGATTAAATGCGCCAAAGGTCTCAACTAGTTTTGCCGTCTCCGTTTTGCTGTCACATCCTTAAACGTTTACAATAAGTAGCTTCTAGCCAAATATAGTTTGAGTATCCAACCAAAAACTAAGACTTATTCGCGTTTCATCTATAAATTTCTAGCTTATTAAATGTGTTGAGATAGAAACCAGTTTCTCGCTCTCCGTTTTCCTGTCTCATCCTTAAACGTTTACAATAAATAGCTTGCAGCGCAAGTTCCCACACTTTTCTAAACTGCCACAAATTGCCTCATTATCACATACCTTAAGCTAACATTACAAGTAATACTCACATTTCGGCCTACCCTCACCTATTCAATTCCCATATTCATTAGATATTTAACACACATGCAAAGGCCGGCACAAAACTCGAAGTCCTCGACTCATTTATGGCCTGAAAATAGCCAAAAATAGCCAATGACCCAAGCAGCAGGCAGACAGAGACAAACTTTTTCAAACTTGAAATAAACACACGCACACACACACACACTCTCTCTCACACACACACACACACAGACAGCATTTATGGCAAAATGTGTGCCAAAATATTCGGCTTAAGCGTG